TCCTCTGAGGTTCTGCTACTTGTGGTAGCTCCCTCCCTTCCTCTATATCAATGCCATCAGTGGTATAATGATCCATGTTTCTGAGATAAAACACATCAATCATAAGGCAAAATAATTCATAAAATTATACTGCCCAAACATTGTAAGACTAAATCAATCATCCTATAGGCTCTTTCATTGATCATTACTAAACCTTTGCTCTGATACCACTCTTGTCAAGACCCGGCCCGGCTAGCACGATAAAATCAGGGCAGGAACAGTAATCGTACGAAAAACACATAAAATATTAACAGTTCCAATTAAAACTTTAATATTAAATCACAAAAATCGTCCATAAATGAAAGAGCCACTAAACAACATCAAATAAAAGGGAGATTCATACTGATCATCACACATGACCACTAAAACTTTCAAACCCATCAACATTACATAAGCTCTCACAATTATGTAAATTCCAAACTCAAACTTAAACTCACAAACTACACAAAATAAACTCAAAGACTCAATCTGAAATCATAACAAGGAACCTTTCATCCTGAGGTCCCCTATGACGATACGTGTACGGTCGTCGTGCAGCCATCACTTCTCTCCTGAAAAATATTTCAAACATGGAATGAGCCAACACTTAGCAAGTAATTCATAGCTCAGTTAATTTCATAAGATGCATATAACAAAAATATTTATAATTGAAATCATTTCATATCATTTGCAAATCAAAACATTTGAATTTTCATTCTTACTTTTATTTTTCCCATCTTTAACATTTCATTCTTTTCATTCTTTCCTTTCACTTTTTTCATATGCAATGCAAATGCAAAAATGCTTATGCTAAATGTAACACCCGTCCCGGAAATACCCTTATTCGTACTGATCAGGTACGCAATTAAATTTTTGGCCATTTCTTTTACCATTTGGCTCCAAAGAACCCCATTACCATTTGACTTTTGTAAGCCCGTTTATCATTACCATTTTGACACTTTCGGATCAACATGCAACATGAAATTGTTATTCAATTTAAATCTTTTCATTTATGTTCAATTTCCTTTCATAAGTCACATATATTTTCATGCTCAAATGTTTTTCATATGATTCATATGTTTTCCAACAATTAATGCATAATATAAAAGCATGAACTTGCAGAATCATTGAATTTAAAACATTAAATAATGATAAAATAAATACATGAAATTTCATTTAAACATAAAAATATTAAGCGCTTAAAAATTTAAATGAGGTATGAACACCTACCTCTTTTAAGCATAGTATGTCGCTTCGACACAGTTCTTTCACCTTTTTACACTTCAACGATCACAACCTAAGAATAAAACAAACGTGTCACATAAATCCAAACTTCATTAAGACTTAAGGCTAAATCTAAGTCTAATTGCTAAACCCGGTATTTTCCCTTAACATTTCCTTATGACACTTAATGAATATTTAATTAAATAAACCTTAATTTTCGGATTTAATAAATACTTAATTTTTGAAAAGTAATAAATCTTCAATTTCATCAAAACATTGCTCTAAAATTAATCCTCAATATATAATTATAATTATAAATTAAATTTTCGGATTAAAATAATTCATGAAAATTAAAAATTTTTTTAAAACCCTAATTTTTCCTCATTTAAGCATTTCTAATATCCTTAGGAACAACATTTGTAAAAAAAGAAATTCCTCAAAATTCAAAATCTAAGAAAAACCCTAATATTTCATTTTCAATTTTTTTTTTGCGAAATAATGTCATTTCCATCGTTAAAATATATACCTAATCATTCCCTATTGATTTCGTAAAGAATTTCAAAGTTTTCGTAAAACCCTAAAATTTTCTCTTCCAAAAATTGAGAGATAGAGAAAGATTCGTTTTAAAAAAATTATATCGGAATGTTCCTCTCGTCGTCCTCTTCGATTCAGACTAATTTCCTCGCCGGAAGATCGTCGCCGAGAGCCCTCGCGGGACCCGTCCGTCCGCCCGTCCTTGTTCATCCGCTTGGTTTCGGCCGTGACTTGCGAATGGGAGATGAGGGAAGGGTTTCGGATAGTCTATTTAGAGAAATTGATTTGCACAATTACCCATATGCCCTCACTTAAGTGAAATCAGTCTTCTATTTACAAAGGGGTAAAATCGGTATTATGAAGCTTCCGAATTTTTTAATTCCATATATAAGCAAAATTGGGTATGGGTTATATATATCAAAACGATCAGAATTTTGCGTAGGATTTTCTAAAATTATTTCCGTTGAATTCCGTTAACGTTGAAAATTTTACTTAAATTTTGTTGCGGTGCTTTGAAAAGCGTGCGATGACCTATTAACGTTGTTTTCGGGTTTTACAATTTAATTGATGGTAGGTGTAACACACTTTTAAGACTCAAGATTGGAAAATATACTAAAGTGGTTTGGGTTTGCACAGTTGAAGTTAGAAGGTCCACCAATATAGTAGGTAGATAAAGTTAATTTGAAATGATTGAAAGGAAAATGGGGAGATAGATATTAAAGTGATTGGCCTATTTACAACACAACAACCCTTATTTTATGCTTCTATTAAATTCCTAATTGCTTGATTGGGGGACGTGCTAATGCATTGGTTTAATAGTTAAAAAAAATGATATGAGTGCTAGTTTTATAAATAGGTAAGTTTTAAGTTTTACGAATGTATTTCCCCCAATAAAATTAATATCTTATGCATCCTCATTTGGAATTCATGAAGAATGATGATTCATAAAATCAATCCCCAAAAGTTTGGGATAAGGTTTGTTGCAGTTTAGAATAATTGACATGTTGGTAGAGTATGACACATACATCAAGCATCGTAAACTACTCTGGGTTTTGGTCCACACATGAGACCATTGATGCTAGAGTCAACAATTTATTATGAATCATTTCTCTATCTAGTTGCTTAATTTTCTCAGGATTTTTTCTAATATTTTAGACTTAGGCCGGCTTGCTTAGGATCTTTATTCTACTAGATAAAAGCTCCAAGAGATTGAAAAATGAAAAATGAATTGAAACCATGGAAAATACCTTGGCTAAAATATTTATGGATAGATTGCAGAGTATTATTTTCATCAAAAAGTTTGGTTGATGGAGTTAATGATCCAATTATATTTGATGTGTCAAATAGCTTTGATAAGTGTATAAAAAGAGTCATTGATTGGTTTAACTTTAATGGCACTTTTGGATTTACCTCAGATGACACTTTTAATATAGTTAATGACCTGAATGATTTAAGGGTTTTTCTGGAATGCTATTTTGGCTTTAAATGTCATTTGATCAATGTGTCCATTGCCTTGATGTGATTATGATGATGTTGCTAGGCTATTTTTGTGATTAGTGTAGTATTTGTTTAAGGATCTACATGTGTCATAAGGTAGCATATAGGATAGCAATGATTGACTTGGTCTGGTGTTAAATCGGTCATGGTAAAGAAGTTTACATTGAACTAGTTCAAGATGAGAGACTATTTTTGGCTGGCCTCGGTTATTGGGTTTGATGGAAATTGCATTAATTCAGGAATGAAAAGTTACCATTAACTAAAGTAAAAGAAACCTATCACAATCTATCCTAATCAAGTCAACAAAACTTGATGGAAGTTCACTGTCTAAAAAAACATCCCAATAAAAGTCACCTAATATTTACATTGGGGTAAAATAATTTGCATTTTTGTTTAAGTTGAGGTTGGCCATAAGTGAGAACTTGCTTATTCGTTAGTCTAAATTAGGTAATAGTGCTTTCCCATTTTTAGTGAAGTATGTAGTCTAAATGAGATAATAGTACTTTTCCATTTTTAGGGAGGTATGGTAACAGCTCATTCAATCATTAACTTATAGAAATATGTGCAATGCTATATTTATCTTAGGGCTAAGCATGATATAGAGCTTAAAGTCTGCGATCATCGACAAAAGTGCAAGCTCATTGTATTGCATCAATCTACTCCATTTTTTTTTGAGTAATTGGAATATATAAAGTCTTTGTCTGGTGTGGGTTCCGAAATTCGGCCCCGGCCTCCCCGCTCGCTTTTCTTTTTTTATCCGGCGAGGGAGTTTTAACGAACTAAGTTTCAGGATAAATTTTGGAAGGCAGATGAGTTTGTAGATAAGACACTACCCAAAGATTTCGCCCTCATTTTGCGAGGACTTTATAATCTAAGTTCTGATTTCCTATAGGCGCAAGCCCCTATAGTTAATTACCCCTCCCGATCACGAGAGAGAACTTTCGATTAAGGCTAGTCGTCGATCAGATACGTATAGAATACGTGTTATCTGGCATATAGTAGCAGCAATGGATTTAGAATATTGGTAGAAATTGGGTTTGGATTTGGGAATTCGAAAAGATTTAGAGATTTAATATTTAAAAATGGAAATTTCACCACCTTGCAC